AATTAGTCATTCAATTAATCAAAATTTCTTATATATCGATATGTTATCAGTTATCAGTTATCTCCTTTTAACTCCCCTCTTCAAGTTCTTCATCGCCTTAACCGAGTATTGAACGCAATATCACATGACACAGTGGATAAACGCATTGGTTAGATCCAGTGATAGGACCCATGAAGTGTGAGTTCAGTACCCGTTTAAGGGTATTATGGCGCCATAGATGAGGACAATAGTAGATAACTGATAACTGACATCCATTAGATATGGCACGTGGAACTAGAACAGTCTACACCAGTGAGCGAAATAAAGCGTTCAGTTCGACATTCCAACCACCTGAAGAAGACCGGAGTGTACAACGGCCGAAGCATTGTAATAAATATTCCTTACCTTATCTCATATACTTTAAACGATAATTTATCGTGGGCTTTTGTATTCTGATCAAATGAAATTTTCATTCAATTTTTGAATATAAAAAAATAACATTTCTGAATAAATCTCATACACATTCATTATTAATTTTCTTTTATATCAATGCCATTGAAAAGAAGATAATATTACGTTTCTTTCTTAAGAGAATATCAGTGACTTTGAATGAATTGCAGACGATTTGGACGATAATAATGCTTACTAAATTAGATGTTTTATCTTCTATTCTTCTAATCTGGCGGTGTAATGAGGTTCAGGCTTTGATTTTCTTGGGTTCGTAGTTCTCAAGAAATAATCCTTCAGTGCTCTCTTCATAGTTCATAGTTTCTTTGACTCAATAAGGCTGAATCCAATCGATGAATTTATCGATAGCGCTATCTAGTTCCAGGCATGTCAGTTTTAGTTTTTCAGCGTGACACCTTTGATTAAGGGTTATAGAGATCAGTATAGAAAATTACAATTATGTAATCACAAACTCATTGGATTTCCACAGCTTTTTATCAATATCTGTCTATATTTCGGAGATGAGGTATTATGTACACTATTTACAATATTCGGACTATTCTCCTCATCTTTGTTGCCATATTTATCACAACGTTTCGGCCCTTCAGTATCTGTCTATATTTCAGAGATGAGGTATTATGTACACTATTTACATTATTCTGACTATTGTCCTCATCTTTGTCGTCATATTTATCACAACGTTGTGGCCTTCTTCAGGTGGTCGGAATGTCGAATTATTTCACTCGCTGGGGTCGACTGTTCTAGTTCCACGTGCCATGTCCTGTTAATTCCCCTCTCCAAGTTCTACTGAACTCACACTCTTTGGGTCTTGTCACTAGATCTAACCAACCATTTTATCCACTGTGCCATGTGTCTTTGAGGGCATCTGTATATGAATTTCCGGCTATTCTAAACCTAATGTCTTCAGCAACCGTTTTTAACCAGTGCTCATATTGCAATTTTTGATCTGGTAAAAAACTTGTAATGATAATTACAAGTTTTTTGCCAGAACTCATATTGCCATTTTTGTTGTTATTATCGCTTTACTCTGGTACTCCTTATTACTGGTTCCGATATTATATTCGTTTCTATGCTTGATCGGATCAGGAGATTTTTGTGGCCTAGCATATGTGCTGATTCCGTAAGTTTGCGAATTTTCCAATTATGTTCTTTGTCTATGATCTCAACCTGATTCAACAGATGGCGGTGATCTTCCTTTTCTCTCCATATGTGGTCAGCCACGCCTGATTTTTACACTTGCCTATCATTATTAAAATAATATCAATCTTTTAAGAAAAAATCCACTTTCAAATGAACACGATCATAATCGGTGTTGATTTTATATTTGGCATCTGTGTACATACATTTTGAATTGACGCAATGTTTAATTTATTAACTTCTTGAGACTAGACAATTTCTCGGTGGAATATCACGTAAGCCACACATTGCAAAATAGTCACTGCTTTCATTGCTTCCTCCTCACTAGGTACAAATATTTTAAGGATCATTATCGAATTCTCTATCAGTTTTAGTAATTTCACACGAAATGTATCATAGGCAGCTCTAAGACAAAGACATTTCCCGCCAGATATCCGGACGCCATTGAATCAATAGAAAATAAACGTGTGTGCTTTTTTGAAGGGGGAAGAGGTTGGCTAGAGAGTTCTCGCGGAAATTACTACTAAAATGAAAAAAAAAACTCTGATGCACTTGTACATGAAGAAAATAAACACTTAGGCTACAAACAAAACAGACAAATGTAAATTAAAATAGAAATTAAAATAATATTTAGCTAATTAGGAATCACACTTAAATAGTTACAGGATTGAAATTTAAAATTCCGCAAAAAATATTTCTTACGCCATACAAACATTTAAATATCAAAGAAGTCTTTTAATGACGATAAATGTGACACCGGAATCCGAAGGCTCACTTTAATAGAGAAAAATGCTTTTCAAACGCTAAGCAAAGTTTAAAGAAACAGCAGAGTTTAGATAAAAAGAAAGAAAACAGTGCTGAACTATTATCTACTGTCGGTCTTCATATATGAATGCTGGTTATTTTCTCCGTAGATGAAAAAAAGACTTGAGAATTCCACAGAATGTTGCTAAGAATACCATGAACTGAATATGTGAGTAACGATGATGTTCTATGGAAAATAATATAATAAGTTTGGAAGTATGGACGGCATAATGAATAATGGCTTGGAATCGTTAATCAGAGAGACGAGTTCTAATTCGAGTCGGAAATCCATTTACTCCTCCCCTTATGGGTTAAATAGTAAAACTTGTATGACTAAACTATTATTAACTCCTAAAAATCCTCACAGTCTAAGAATATTTTCTGGCTTTAAATAACCTTCAAAAAGGTTGATAAACCGTAGAAAATGAATCAACCCACAACTACAAAATATAGATATTTATGATGTGATTTCGTTTTGTGAAGATAGTATAGTGAAATTAGTGAAGAGCTTGTAATCTCTCTACATTCTACTAGTCAATGAATCTGGATGAATTTCCAAAACAGAACAGTGCGTGAAGTATTTAAAGACAATCGTTGCCCTGTGGTATTCTTCATCTTTCAGCCGGAGTCTTTATCTCGTAGCACGTGTGATCGTTACAAGTAGAAATTTCCAGGACCTATCAGATGAGGAAAATTTCTCAGTGTTTCATCCATGCTCTGATGCACTCCAAGACACATGCTGACAGGGCCTTTCTGCCATTTAATCTATAAGGGAACTCATCCGCCAACTGTGGTGATAATAAGTCTCCACATGCAATCTCATAGGTCTGATACACGAAATTATCGAGTGTTCAGATCAAATGGACTACACTCACCTGGTTTTCGCGCACACTGACTTGTTTAAACTGCTGATCCATATATATATATATATATATATATATATATATATATATATATATATATATATATATATATTTATATATATATATATATATATATGTGTGTGTGTGTGTGTGTGTATAATTTAATTTAAAGAATAACAGATCACTATAAGGCTCCATTTGTTATGATTTATTTCACCGATTATTTTCTCTTCGAGTTACATGAGTCATCAATTTCAATTCTTGTAAATATATTAGACACACCTGGATATATGGTTTATCTATTTATTAACTACTTAAAAAGACATACACACGCATGCGCACACACACACACACACACACACACACACACACACACATATATATATATATATATATATATATATATATATATATATATATATAGTTTACCCTGAAGATCCGTTTTGGTGAAACCTAGGTAGGTTTGCCTAGCTCCTTAGGATTTATTCTAGTTTATCGCTTTACTTAGCGTATTGAGCACTCTACGTTTTACTCTTTCTACTCGTTTGTTTTTTTTCTCTTTGGACTAAGGACTTTAAACACTTGACGATTTGTTCCGTCTTGTCCTGATGTATTTAGTTCTTTATTTTATTGTTTCCAATTTTTTACTCGAGTACCGATTTGTCCTTAAATATCTACAAGTTGAGCTATCCAAAGCTTTCCAGACAAATACTACTATTATATATATATATATATATATATATATATATAATTTAAAGAAAAACAGACCACTTTCAAAGGTGGAACGAAAAATGAATTTAAAATTTACACTTTTGGCGGGAAGTATTATAAAAGTTGACATAGATGGTGGAGAGGAATAGTGTAAGAGACATGGTCGAGTTTAGAGAGGGAAGGGAGTGTTTTAAAATTTATTTTTGTTTTTATTACAATACTTAATATTGAGGAGGAGGGGTTAAGCATCAGACATTGACCTATTTTATCGGTTCACTCAAAGGAAATGATATGGGAAAAAGGAAATAAAGTAGTGGGGAGTAATGGGATATGATATAAGCGATGTACGTAGGGTTTGCGGAGGAAGGAGAGGGGTGGTATAGCTTTAGCAATTTATATAAACACAGATTTGATAGTAATTTAAATGTTTAAAAACTGCACAAAGAAATTAAATTTAATGCTTGTTAGCTATTTAAATGTATATATATGTGTGTTTGTTTGTATGTGTGTATGTGTGTGTGTGTGTGTGTGTGTGTTTGTGTACATACGCAGTTAAATTAATCAGAGTAAGACTTTATTTTACAAAATATATTTATTTTTCAACGTATAGCTTTCCTTGATAATGTAGTAATTATAAGATCAATATTAATTTAAAGAACGAATAATATCAAGATTACGCCGGTTTAACTAATAATTAAGTGTTATACAACTGACCTATTGAAACCGTATATATATATATATATATATATATATATATATATATATATATATATATAGAGAGAGAGAGAGAGAGAGAGAGAGAAAGTAAATTTGTAGGAATTGAGTTAGCTCTCTCCGATCAGCCAAAAAGTGATCCCATTAAGTGGTAAACCTAGCCTTGCACTTTGAAAGTAGGCATCTATCCGCCCTCACTAATAGCCTTCGCACCAAAAGACGTCATCTGGATGCAACAGTTGTACTTCCGTATTGCTTCAATAAAATGCGTTGACTCCGAAGTTGTACCCAGAAGGAGATCCCTCAGCGGCTGGGGAGGTTCGTCTAAAGAAGGGAGCAACAAAGCCCAGGTTGCTCACCGGCCCACTTTTTTGCGTTGCAAAAAGTGAAAACTTTATCCATGGCCCCTATTTGTACATCTCTCCTAGCGGAATAGTTGACAGTGCAGTCATAATTGTATGCGGCTTTTGACCAAAATGACGCAGACGGCGAAGTTACGCCATTCAAAGAAGCTCGATGTTGGCTAATGTTTTCGAGCCGTTGACGGCGTACTTCGGAATTTTCTGCAGCCCGGGCAGACGCAGTAGAGCGGTCATTTCTAATGTGACGAACAGTGGTCTGTGTATTGCTTTCTAAGGCTCTGGCAGACGCGGTGGATAGGGCATTCCTAAAGCGACGATGAGCGGTTTCTTGAGGTTGTTCCGAAGCTCTAGAGGCGGCTGTAGCCCTAGTATTCCTAAGACGACGTGAAGTTGTTTGTTCGGGGCTTTCTAAATCCCTGAAGCAAGTTTTGGCGGTGGCATCCCGCAAACGATGAAGGGTTTTCTGTGCTGGGGACAGTGAAGCCCTCAACCTAGCCACGCGGACTGCATCCTGTGAATTCTGAAGTGAACGTTCTTCAACTGAAAGCCTGGTGCGGCGTGCGGACATGGTTGAAACCGCTGAAGCGAACCATTCAGTCCGCGCAGCGGCGCTTTCCATAGATAAGCGAGCAGCTGAGCTCGAGGCGATCCGTGAAAGACGCAAAGAAATCTGTTCAGAGGTTTCACTCGCCCTCGGCAGCTACCGTGCGCCGTCCCCAAAGTTTCCTCCTTTTATGTGGCATCCAAACAGTAAAAACGTCAAAGTGAGTAAAGCTTAAAAAGAGATTTCGACAAAATCCAAAACGAAAAAAAACGTGCACTGAAAACGTAGACACAAAAAGGGGAACACCCAGTAAAATGAGTTCAGATGTTACTAAAGGGGAACTCGAAACTAAAATTGTGGAAATTTAAAAAGGTAAAGCAAGGGTAAATCCAAAAGGAAATGGGTGTTTAGTACAATTGGCTCACGTGTGTGGGATTGGGTTGGAACTATAAAATAAAAAGCAGCTAGAACACGCAATTAACAACTTGCGGTGTCCGAAATAGGCGAATAAAGTAAGCCAAGTACGTACACGCGGGCAACAATAAACGCAAAAGTGTGAAAGCACGCCGGAGTCACGCAATAGAGGTGGTTGACCTTGAGTGCACTTACACATAAGGTGACGCGCGATATAACGTGTGAGAAATCCAGCGCGATGATTGGACAGGACCCAAGGTCAAGCTCTATGAAAGCGACCAATGGTCTTGGAGCAGTCTCGGTACCGACACGCGGACTCGCTTGTACGCAACTGTGTGTGTGTAAGGAAGTTACAAAAAAGATTGATCCGCGTGCAGCTACGGTTATTTTTGCCAGAAATTTCTGACATTTGACACACATAAAGGCGATAGTAAGCCGTAAGTGTGTTGTAAATTTTATTTGAATCAAACCAAAACTGTATATACTGTGTTCAGAGGGCTAAATCCTGTCCCTTGGTACCCTCGTTTATGGTTCCCTGGACAAGCAGCTTTGACAGTCTTGCAAACAATTTGGTACTTGTTAGATAGCTAAGCGTTAGTGCTATCAGAAGCTGGACCATTTGCTTTGTTTTGGTGGCTTGGTAACAAAACCTCGTCCAAAAACTGCGAAAAATTTGCATAAATGGCTCTTACCCGTGCTTTCAAATTGATTTCGTGCAAAAAAATTGTGTTTTTCCCATTTTTGGCGCTGTCAGAACCGCCGCCTGGTAATTTTACGTTTTAAGTTTTGTTGAAATGTAGGAAATCCGATCCCATATATAAACGAACAGACACACACACACACACAACCTGGGTTTTATAATAAGTAAGATCTGAAGAAGTTATACATAAGTGATTATTTGGTGGATTTAGTCTAATCATATAGTAATTCGTCGACCCTAGAATAATCTACAACATAATGCAGAAAGGATTGGACTGGGACTCATCATCAGTGTTCGCAGCCACTACCGAGAATCGACCCTGGACCGTTTCAATACAACGCAAACGTAATACCAATTGTACCACGGGCCTTGGTTAGAAAGAAGGTACACAAACTAGACTCGATATAGCGCCGCTACTCACTCTGTTCCGCAGCGATACTCATCCAATTATTCACATAAACTCGGAATAGTGCCCCAAGAGCTTTTTTACCCTTAGCCGATACATTGCAGAGCATTACCTGGGTCTAGAAAGGATATACAAGTGATTATTTTGGGGGTTTAACTAATCATATAGTAATTCGTCGAGCATAGAATAATCCTCAAGAGAATTCAGAAAGCACTAGACGGTCGTTTAGTCCTATTTGGCACTCATCAGCAGTGCACATCCACTACCGAGAACCGAACACGGACAGTTTCGATACAACGCACACATCATACCAATTGTATCACGGGCCTCGGTGACGAAGAAGACACAAAAACTAGACTCTATATAGCGCCGTTACCCACTCAGTTTTGCAGCGATACACATCCAAATATTTAGATAACCTCGGAAGAGTACCCCAAGAGCCATGGCTGCTTTTTGACCCTTAGTCACACAATCGCAGAGCATTAGCTGGGTCTAGCAAGGAGATACAAGTGATTATTTTAGGGATTTAGGCTAATCATATCGTAATTCGACGAGCCTAGAATAATCATCAACAGAATGTCGAAAGCACTGGACGGTCATTTCGTCCTATCTGGATGTGCACTGGTGTTGTGTCCCAGATATGAAGAAACGGCCGTCCAATGCTTTCTGCATTCTGTTGATGATTATTCTAGGCACGGCGGATTATATATATATATATATATATATATATATATATATATATATATGCACTCTAGCTGAGCAAAGCGTATTTACAGTTTGTGGGATAGAGCTCCTAATCTGTCACAGTTGGAATAAGAAGATTTTATTCAAACACTAGTGAATTATTACTAGCGTAATAATCGACGTCACTGGGCTTCAGGAACACGTTATATGGTCTCCATGTACTTTCTAAAGGTGCCGCAAGCTAGGATGATCTACGCATACCAATAAAGTCAACAATCAAGGAAAATGTACCATGATGAGATTCGATTACTCGGCTTTCCTGGTTTTATATATACGTAGCTGGCGGATCATTAAAACGTTCGCTTCCCGATTAGGAAACCCGAGTAAATATATATATATATATATATATATATATATATATATATATATATATATTACGCACAAGTATTCTCGGAATATGTATGAACCATCTGTTCTCTCCCCAGATATGGGTTAATTAGTAAAATTTGTATCTTTATTATCTAAAAAACAAAACAAATTCTTCCAATCTAAAAATATTTTCTGCCTTTAAACACACACACACACACACACACACACACACATATATATATATATATATATATATATATGTATATATATATTGCTGCGTGTTTCATCAAATGATAGAGACAAGTTTTGTCTATTTATTTTAAGCAAATTCCTTTCATATCGTCTGATAAACTTAATGACATTATCATTGAAAGACTGAAGAAAATCACCATATCGATACATGTTTTTTATCCTATCTAAGCTTTCGGCTTACACAAGCCATCATCAAAGATGACAATTACATTACAATAAAGGAAACAATACACGGCCATAACAACAATGGTAGTCTGTTTTGTTTACATGGACGATTTCCAAGCAACGACAAATTCGTGCATACGATTCGCTGGAAGCGAAAATCTCACTGCGGCCCATGACGTCACGCATGACCAAGCGAGAATGAAATGCCTATAACTGATAACGGAATCCATTGGTTTATACCAACGGCTTCCCATACTTAACACTTCTCGTTTTCTTATATATATATATATATATATATATTGCAAGATATTTAAAGCCAGAGAATATTTTTAGATTGTAAGTATTTATTTATATAATAAATAATAGATAATAATGATTTAGTGATACAATTTTTACTAATTAACCCATAGCTGGGTGGAGAACATAGATTCATACGTATTCCGAGGATACTTGCGCGAAAGTGATTAGAATTGACACCCTGCTTTTCCATTAAAAATTCCGATTCATTGCCCATTACCTATCACTTACATCCAAGCTTACAGCAACTGGCATTCTCTGGCGGTTACTAGCCAGGCTCGACGTTGATTAATTTCAATGATTTCGATGTTTCAATGTTTCGTTTTTGTAAATTCACTAAGAAACGACACTTTCAATTTTTAAATCAGGAATAGTGGCATTGTCAAACATGATGTCTGTAATATAATATTTAGATAAAAATATCAGATATTTCAAATCCGCTAATAAATCAAATATTCTCAGAGGCGAAGATGTCTAGATTCAAATGAAGGATATATCGATTTCTCTGAAAATATTCTATGCCGAGTCAACATTAGGCCCTTTAAGAGACTAAGTGGAGAATGGATGGGAAATTAGTCATAAAAGTGACGAGAACAAAGCAAATTGGTTTTACGACCGGTAAAAAGCAATATTTGCAAAATTTTATGACGTTTTGTTGGATAATCTGATGAAAAATCTATATCATAATCGTGTTTCCCGGCTGCGTTAGTCAAATCTGCTGGACTTCTAAGACCAGTAACATCTTTTCAAATCTGCATCAAAACATTTAATAAAAACCCAATTCTATCTTGGAAATTGAATGGAAACTGATGCTAACTGTTTGAAAAAAAATAACAAACGTATTTCCTGAGAGACAATGAAAGGAGTCAACTTAGAGAATTTAACAATGAAGGCTTACTGAAGGAAATAACAGCAAGGAGAAACATTGCATGACAATTTTAACGAGTTTGAGTAAATGACTACCAGAACAAGAAAAAGAAGTATGTTAAAAGGGAAAATTATTTAGAACTACAACAAAGAGGAAGTTGTGAAGAGTCATGATCCTAAAACATTTTGAAAGGGCATGACGCGTACCACCATGAGAAGTGGGCCACATGACTTATCGTGAGAGACACATGTACTTACTCAAACTTAGTCTCCTGTATTCCATTTGCTTCTGACTTTCTGTCGCGCCAATTTTTGCTTTGATACATGAAACTATTGCACCTAATTGATGTCTGATATTCCCCTAATACTCTTTTGGCAGAAGCTATTGTGCCAATTTACCGGCCGGCGTAAAATCTTGTAGTATATGATTCACACCAGAAAGTCTGAATCAAATTTAATGTTAATCAGGAACATTTGTTCAAAGAGAAGTTGATCCGTGGTGACCCAGTAAATAGTGGACTCGCCCTAAATTATACCAAAGTTGAATCTCAACTCAGTGTGACCACAGTGCATCACAGGAGACAGATGTAAAAGAGCATTGGTCTGAAAGGTGTCCTCATAGCCACCTTGCACGGATTCGCGCCTCACACTTACAATATCAGTTGCTTCCATCGAACATTGCAAACAGATGGTCGACCCAGTTGAGCTAGATGTTGCCTCCAACATTGCAAACAGATGGTCGACACAGTTGAGTTAGACGTGCTCACCTTGGACAATTGGGTGATAGGAAGGTATAAAAGTGCCATACTCGAGGGGGATGGGGCAGGAGATCCATATTTGGAGAAGAGCACTAATCCACTCTCTTGCAGATATTAATTGACGAAGTTCAGAAATGAAGCAAAATAATTTTACGTAAGTGAGATTTCCTATCATATTGCTAATAGAATTACAGGGTTTTTTTTGTTGTTTTTT